CCGAATTTCACCGTCCCTGTCAAATCCTCGCTTTTCTCTCTCTCTCTCTCTCTCTCTCGAAGAAGAAGAAGAAGAAGAAGAAGAAGAAGAATACACGTGCAGTAATCGATCGCGATTCTTCTTTCTCCCGAGTTTCAAAAAGCTGGTGGAAGAAAAGAAAAAGAAAAGAAGAAGAAGAAGAAGAAGAAGGAGAAAGCAACGAAAAGAAAAAATTGTATCATTTCCGCTTCGAGAACCGCTAATCAAAATTAGGAGGAAACGTGGACGAAACGACGGCCGGTTGGTGAAAAACAGATCCGAGAAATATTCGCAAGATCGGCAAGAATTTTCCAATTAAAGTAACATTCAAAGCGACGAGTGGACGTTCGGCTAAATTACTTGAGCGTGGAGAGAACTCGCTAAATTACTTGAACTCGCGATACAGAGAGGATCGAACGGCCATCACTAGCGACCGGTCGGCTAATTTCAATACCTCCTCTCCCGCCTCCCTCTCCCCACCCTCTCTCTGTTTCCACCCCCGTTCGCCCGGCGTATGTACGTACCACCACGCGCCCCTGTCGCTGGTCTGCGTGACGCCGAGCCGCGTACGGACACGGGGGTGGACATTCGGCGTTGCGTGTCGGAGGGGGAGGGGGCGGGGGTGGGGGGTGGATTGTTTCGGTGGACGCGCGTGTGCGCGCGTACAACAGCGCGGATGTATTTGACGCTGGAATATTCCCGTCACCCGCTGTCACCCGGTGTAGCGGGGATGGAGGCGGCGGGGAGGGGGGGAGGGGGAGGAGGAGGAGGAGGAGGAGGAGGGGGAGAAAAAAAGAAGGAAGGACTTGTTTCTGCACAACAGGAAGCACGGTGTAGCGCGGATAAACGGATTTTTCGACTAACGACCAGAGATCACATCCTCCAATTAATGCGTCTCGACTTAACGCTTCGCTACTTCTCGCCCGCTTCTCGAGAAAGCTTCTTCTCCCTTCCACCCTACTCTCCGCGAATATTCCGTGTTAATTAGTCGATCGAACGCGGCCAATAACCGACTTTTTTTCCTTTTTTTTTTTTTCCTTTCTTTCTTTCTTTCTTTCTTTCTTTCTTTCTTTCTTTCTTCCAAATTGTTGTATAGTTTTTGAAATTTTGGGGAAAGAGGTTTCGAGAGACAGAGAAAACCTCTTCCGTGTTTCGAGTTTTACGCTTAATTTAAGGGATTAGAAAAAAGAAATTTGATTTTAGGATGTTGATAGGGAAAGGAAAAGAAGGATGGGATCGTTTCGCTCGATGATGGATGTTGTGTATATATGGTGACGTTTTCTTCGACGATTCGACAAAGCGAAGAACGAGAGATGGACGAGAGATAAAAACGAAAATATGGGGGAGGGGGGGCTTAATCAAGTTGCATGCATCGTTTCCTAGACGGGGAGATCTATTTCCTATCGATGCAACGGGATTTACACCGCCTTCCAGCCTGTAATTTCGGAGTGGACGTAGAAAAGACGGGGAATTCGACGACGTGGAAACAGGGTCAAAGGGGGTGAGTCGGTATACAGTGAACTGCAAACTCTGCGTCAGCAACCCTTCGAACTCGCGAACCTTCGACACTCGACTGTCTCTCTCTCTCTCTTTCTCTCTCTCTCTCTCTTCTACCTTTCCCTCCTCTACAAGAGCGGCTAATTTTGATTCACGATTGCTCTCGCAGCTACACACCCCGCTACACCCTTTCATCAGCCAGATCTAGCTCCCATACCGACCCATGCAACCCTAATTTTCTCAACGCCTCTCGTCCATCCCGCAAGGAAAAAATTGCTAATACTTCACCGGCAAATTGGGAAGTTACAACTTCCCTGCCCTCCTGTTTTTCGGAAGGGCGCCACTCCTCGCCCGAGTATTTTTCAAACCGACCCCTCCCCCCTTTCGTTCCTCTACCTTTCCAATCACTATTACCGCTTATATTAATATCTCTAATATCCAAGGGGGAAGCTATATCTGTCATCGATCGGATGTTTACGGATTCCGCTCTTCCGCTCGCGCTCTTCGTCCATATCTCCCTCTCTCTCTCTTCCTCCAACTCCTGTAATCCCCTTAACTTAAACTTTCCAAAAAACTCGGGGACAAACATCCCTTTACCTCTAAGGAAGAAAAAAAGAAGGAAAGAAAGCAAGAAAGAAAGAAAGAAAGAAAGAAACAAGACTTTTTTTTTTTCGGTAGCGAAGCCGATAATCCCATTGCCTTTCCCTCCTCCCCCTCCTCCCTCCCCCTCCCTCGGCCTGGATTAAAAAGGAAAGGCTGGAAGCGGAAATAAAAATCCTTTCGAACAGCCGGGGTCGATGCTTGTGTTCGAACAATCACGCACAATCACGGGTCGGGCATTATAGAACTGTCCCCGGGGGAACTGTGGACGCGAGGGAAGGGAGGGAGGAGTGTGGTCGATCGACGAGAGGGTTGGCCGGCAGAGGCCCCGTTCGAGATTTCGCCATCTCCAAGGGGTCGAGAATGCCCCTACGCGAGTTCAACGTGACGCCAGCAAGCCTCCATCGCACGGTTATCGCGCGAAACTCGGCGGGGTGCAATGGCCCTGGTTGGAAGGGGAGGGCGAACTGGACGCCACGTATCTTTACGGGTCATAAAGGTTGGCCCTCGTTACGCGGAGGAAGCTGTACCGCACCGGTGGCCACCAAGGCACCGCACCACCGACCCTCCTTGTCGCCTTTAACCCTCTCCCCTCCCTTCCCTATCTTTCTTCCCCCTTGCGGACACCAACCCCTCGTCGCCGTGCTCCAGGTGGTGGCATCGATACGGCCGCAATAAAGTCGTCGCCGATTCTCTCAACAAAGGAAACAAACGGGCCGATGAAACCGATGAAACGCGGAAGCGCGATGCGATTCGAGCGCCACAACTTTTCGAAATACTGTTCGGAAGCCTCTTTCTTTCTCTCCGTTTCTTCTCTCGTATCTTCGAGCGATTCTTCGGAGCGATTGGCGGAAAAAAGAGGAGAAAGGTGTTCGATTTCTTCCGCGATGATCGACAGGGGACGAGGACAGGGGGAGGAATGGGAAAGATGATAAAGAATTCGTTCTCTTTTGCGAAACTTGGGTCACAGAGAGACGGCCGCAGAGTAATGAAGATGTCTCGTCGCGCAGGGTGTCCTCGATGCGGCATGGGGCCCATTGGTCCCGTGGCAGGCCACGGGGGGTGCGCGTAAACGATGTCACGGACGTCATTGTGCTCCCTTTGCACGGCCGAATCGAAAGAGAAACTCGGCTCCTTTCGGGTTTAAATAGGCCGGATATATAATTGGGCCCGCCGGGCCATTCACCGCATTTCATCCGCGGTACCCCCCATAATGCCCGTCGAGTGCTCGTACGGTGAAAAAGAGGAGAAGGAGGGGGAGCGGACAAAGGCACGCGTGAATACCGAAAATCTCTCTCGAGCATCCGCGCGAGAAGTGGATCCGTAACGAGGAACCGCTGTGAACCCATGTTTGAACGTGTACAAAAATTTTACACGCGTCGAAACCGAAATTCTTTTGCTCGATATTTCGCCAACTCCTTTTCGATTTATATATGTAAAAATTCCACGAAATCTCAAACCTCCTTCTTCCCTCGAAATTCGAATCGAAAGAAAAGTTTTCGTTTTTTCCCAACGATTCGAGGAACATCCCAATACCGGAATCATCCCGAGCGAATCGAGTGCCAAAATATTGAGAGGCGCTCCGCCGCCGGTTTTCTCCACGACACGCATCGAGGAAAAGGAACGCAGCGAGAAAGGGCCGAGAGGCGATAAATAAATGCTAACCTCATTTTTCATGTGCCCCATAAAGATCGTCGTTCGTCGTATGAATGAAAGGGGGGAGGGGAGCCGAAACCTTTCCAAAACCTCGTCCCCTCCCCGAACAACAGCATCTTGGAGAGAAGGATCCGCCATTGGCGAGCGCAGGAGCGTGACATTATATTTATGTTGTCACCCTGCGTGTCAACGCCGTGGCTACCGTGGATGGAGCTGGCTCGTGAGAGTGAGACGTTGAAAGAGACCCGGTGGAAGGGGAGAAAGAGGGAGGGAGAGAAAGAGAGAGAGAGAAAAGAGGAAAAAGAAGAAAAAAAAAAAAAAGAAAAAGAAGCGAAGATAGGGGGCCTGACTGTGCCCTGTCTACAAACACCGCGCGTCCTGATCGCTACTCACTGCCAGGGACAATGGACGATCCTTTCGTTACCTGTTTACCAAAACCCAGTCATCGTAAAACCATCGAATCGAATCGCGAAGAAAGCGATTTCAAAACGTTCTCTTTCGTTTTTAGAAAAACGACTCCTCTTTCGACCGAATCCAAGGAATCTCGACCATTTTCGATTCGACTCGTATCTTTGCTCTCCTCCTCGTTTCCGTTTCCCTCTCTCTCTCTCTCTTTTCTTTCTCTTCCTCTTTTCGCAGGAAGAAAGTCAATCAGTCGAAGGAACGTTGGTCCAAGTTAATTGGTTCTCTAAGCTAAAGGGAGAGGGGAGTCGCAGGGGGGCCCCTTCCGGCTCAGAGACGCGCGTGCCCCTCTTGTTGTCGCAACTGTCGTCGAACAGTTGGCTCGAAAGTGTCTGCGAATCGTCAGCCGAGGGTCGTCGCGCCGACAGCATCCGGTTTCTCGATTCGTCGCCGCTCGTTTGGGCTAACCGCCGAGGACACGACTCATTCCCTTTTTAAACTTTCGACAGGTTTCAGCGATAGTCTCTCTCTCTCTCTCTCCTTTCTTTCTCTCTGTCTCTCGCAACTTAGTAGCGATTTAAATCTCCAATACGAGGAACGTCGTGATGCAGGATAGGAATATATTGGAAATCGGCGTGTTGGAGGCGGTCCTCTCGTCTTTTCTAATCGCGTAGAATAAGAGAAACGGGAGGATGGATGAAAGGAGATAAGGAGGGGAAAAAAATAGCGGTGGAGTGGAAGTGGTGGCAAGACCCGGTGCAAGGCCAGGGACGGGCGTGCAACAATCAATAACTGTCGTTCGTAGCAGGCATAAGTCGTACGTGCTCGTTGAACGTTGTATAGAGGAGTAACGCGTGCCAGTTTCCATCAGGAGTGACGGTAACAGCTGTTGCACGTCCATTTCGAAAGCTTTCTCCGTGGAAACTCCGGGGGAAATTGGCGGCGCTGATCGTCGCGTAAACACAACCTAAAAGCAGTAGATCACTCGATTCCTCTTCGTACAGTTCTAAACACGGATCCTGCGGACACACAAGGGAAGGGAGGACAAATCTATATATAGATATATATACATATATATATAATACATATATACATATATATATATATATATATATATGTGTGTGTGTATACATACGCATATGGGTGTACACGCGCACACACGCAATTTGAAACAGAGCTGTCGATCGATTAGAACTTTTCCAGAGCATACGTGACACCCATAAAAAGCGTATCTCTTCATCCAACGGAATTGAATTCATCCCGCCTTACTTCGTTTCGGTCAAAAGCCATTTGCATGTCTATCTCGCGTTCAAGAAAAGAAAAAAGGAATAAAAAAAAAAAAAAAAGAAGAAGAAGAAGAATCCGTTCTGATTCCGACGATATGCTGATTTTCTAATCAGGGAACGCGTGTATCTTAAATATCTTCTTTTCTTTCTTTTCTTTTTTTTCTTATAGAAATTTGCATCGTTTCTTTTATCTTCGTTCTTACGTTACTCCAGATATTATCGTAAAAGAAGAAAGAGGGAAAAAAAGGGAGGAAGGGTTAATTCGTTATTTGATTCGCACAACTCGAGACGCATACGCATCGCGGGAGAAAGAATCGTGTTTTTTTTTTTTTTCTTTCTTTTTTCTTCTATCGAAACGTCTCGCGCAAAAAAACGCGAGCGAAGCGGAGAAAACAAACACTCGTGAATAAATTTGTAATCGAGCTTTGAAAAAAAAAAACAAAAAAGAAAAAAGAAGATCGGAAAGATTCATAAATTTCATCAGCTGTGCGTCCTCTGCGCAGAAAGAATTCTATATACATCTATTTCCAATTTCAATATCTCAAAAATGGAGCAAGCTCAATTTACATTGTCGACAAAATTTCAAAAAATTTAGCTCGATAAACAGCCAACGTTCCGACATTTCGATGAAAACTTCTCATCTTCCCACGTTGCGAGAGGAAAGAACAAAAAATTAATCCCCGCTCGAATTTTCGTATTTCGAGAAAATTCGAGAAGACGAGTGAGAATGGAAGAAAAGTGGACGAGGAAAACGAGGCGGAAGAGTGCAAAATTTGGGCAACGATCCCTTCGTTGAGAAGGGCGAAATGCGCGCCAAAATGTCGTTCCCTTCGGAATTGCGGAGCGTTGCGAAAATTTTGATTGGAGCGTAGGATGACGATCGCGCGAGCGGCGATGGGACGCGGCCTGTGTCGTTTTCATATTCGTCCCGAAGAGAGTGGCCACGAGGTAGCTCGAGATTGCAGGAGAAAAAGGGGCCGCGGGAAGGGGGAGGGGGAGGGGGAGGGCGGTAAATTTTCATTAAAATACAAGGGAAACATTTCTACTCCGTTAGACGGTGAATTTGCATGAATTAGAATTTCAAGTGTCGCGCGCGAACCAAGGGGCGATTGCGGCGCTTTGGAAGAAAAAGGAAATCGACGTGTTCGTTGGCAACGTGCAAACGATAGGATACGATACGATACGATACGATACGATACGATACGAAGGGGAGGAAAAAAGAACCCGGCGGGAGGAGGGGGGCGGGGGAGGGAGTGAAAAAAACGGGAGTAGCGAGAGGGCGGGGAGGGGGGGGAGGAAGGGAGAGAAAATAAAAAATAAAAAAAAATAAAAAAATAAAAAAAAAAAGAGGAGTGACGAAAAAGGAGCGGAGGTGGGGGAGGGGGAGGGGGGAGAAACGCGGATATTATTTTTCAAGCGGGTGATATACGACCGAGGTGACGATTTACGGAGTTACAACGATTGCTTCGTTTTTACAGTCCGGAAAAAGACAATTCTTTCCTTCTTTCTTTTTTTCTTTTTTTTTCGTCACTAGTTTTTCCTTCCTTGAATTTTTTTTTTTTTTTTTTTTTTTTTTTTTTTTTTGCTTTTTCGATCTGACTGCTTTTTCTCCTTTCTCCCTGTCCCTCTCTCTCTCTTTCCTTCTTTCTTTTTTTTTTTTTTTCTGCTACTCGTCGAACAAGCAACGTGTTATCTCACCACTCTCCGCTATTTTTTTTTTTTTTTTTCGAACGCGCACCTCTTCGCGTTTGCCTCTTCCCCGGTCCCTTTTTTCTTTTCTTTATCACTTTTTTTTCTTGCGGATGCAAAAAAAAAAAAAAAGAAAAAAGTCGGCGAGAAGAAGAAAACACTGGAAGCTGCGGAAGGAGCGAAGCAGCCGCAGGACAATAGGTTTTGGCGCACCGACGATGCTTTTAATTTTTATGGGATTCTTCGGGTTAAAAAGGCGCGTACACACCGACGAATTTCCTTCCTTCCCCTCCCAGCCACCTCTGCGGCTCTTTTATTAGGATCATAAAGTCCCTGCGGCCGGCTGGGCAAGAATTTTTCTTTTTTTTTTTTTTTCTTTTTTTTTTTTTTTTTCCTTCCTCTCCGTTTCTCCACCGCTCGCACCAAGTAGACCTTTGGGATTTCCGGCGCGCGCGTACGCACGCGCGTCACCATCGAGAAAAACTCGCGGAAAAAGTCGTGGAAAAACTCACGACCGAAAAGGATCGATCGCAAAAAGCGTCATAATGAACCGTGATGCCGCGATTTCTTGCTGGAAACCCTGTTCCCCGACCGACCCATTATCGATGCTTTGTGTCCAGGAACGGACCAAAATTGCGGACAAATCTTCGTGGATTATCGGCGTGATGAGGTAAAAAGTAAGCGGCAAGAATGCTCGGAGAATTTTTTAACCTTCTTTCTCCTCCGAAGGGGAGAAGTACTTATGATCGTTAAAAGGAAAATAGAAGGATTCGAAAGAAAGGAAGGAAGGAAGGAAGGAAGGAAGAAAAGGAAGCGAGATCGTTTAAAATAAATAATACGTGTCAAACGATCGAAGAAGAATGATCGAAAACGAAAAATTTGCACCACGGTGAGAGAGGGAGAGAGAGAGAGAGAGAGAGAAAAAATCCCCTTTTCGTTGCAGCGCGATTATCGAATCCTTGGAAAGATCAGAGCGAGATCGAGCGCGGAACGAGCGAGAAGGTGGGAGGCCGTGTCGATATTGAAACGGTGGAAAACAGAGGAAACACAGACGGGCTGACCGATCGGCATGCTCTCCGGTATTTCGCTCTGGTTGCGAACCAATTGCTCTATGGTTTCGCGAGCCGAAAAAAATCGACTATTCATGCATAACACCGATAAAATCTGAAAGCTGCTAAAAGCGCGCGCGATCGTATCGCCCAATAATGTCGTTTCCCTACCGGCAAAATACACAGAGGCGCATTTAAAACCGACTTCACAGTAATTTGACAATCTGACTAAAAGAAGTCCGATACTTTAATAGGGAATAATTCGAAGAGAATTCGAATTCGTATCTAGATGAGAGAAGGGAAGAGATCGGTTTGGAGAAAAGTTTAACGTTGAAATTGATCGTCGAGAATTTATTCTTGGCTTAAGAACGCAGGAAAAAAAAAAAAAAAAAAAAAAACGATCTTTTATTTTTCCTATCCTCGAGCAAATTCCACGTTCAACTCGTCTCTAATTTACAAGCCTACCCCTGATATAGCCCGACGATCGTTGCCGATACGCGTGTCCGGGAAGGGAGGGGGAAAGATTGAAAGAAGAATGAACGAGAGCGGAGGGAGAGGAGAAGGAAGTTTTGAAAAGAAGTTGTGGAAAAAAAGGAGCGAAGAGGGTAAATCTGCGTAATTACCCTCGATTTCAAGACCGTTGCGAAATTCAGTGGTTCCGGCCAGGCTGCGTTCACCGGGAGGGAAAAAGATATCCAAAGATAGGATCTGAAAGCTGCTGAAAGCGCGCGATCGTATCGGCCGGTAATGCGATCCCCCAGCGACATAATGGCGCAAAACCTGGCCCCCATTGTTAGCCCCGGGGCTCAGCGGCGCATTCCTTGGCCAGGATGTGCTCTCGATTTTCTCGGATATCGTATAATGTGGCTTATGCCCCTGGCGGGGGAAACAGAGGGAGGACAGGGAGGAGATCCGGCGATTTAGTGTGCGCGTCTCGAGAGAAAGGAAAAACTGTGCTCGATAGTTGGAGTAGGTGTATCCTCCAGCAAATCTATTATTACTGTTCGGAACAACTAAGGGTTACATTGAAAGAAAAATAAAAAAATCGTTCTTGTTTTTTTATTTCTTTTTATTTCCTTTTTTATCTTCATATATCTCCTGATACGATGATGATCGTGAGATTGACGATTGGAAAAATATTTTTATGCAAGTGAAATTTTTATTGCAAATATTACGATCGATCCGGATTGCAGTGAATTTTAAATTATTTTGAACGACGAAATAAAAATTGACGATCTGTTATGAATAAAAGTTTGAAAATTTTGAACTTTGAGAGAGAAATTTAAAAATGTGCATAACGATAATTTCTATGCGTTTAAACTGCCGGATGAAGACCCTAGTGATATCTTAGGGCAAAACGGAAACTACCTATTTGGATCCGCTTTCTACCGGTAAGGCAACGTTCAAGTTTCAGTTACCTACTATATCAATGGGGAGTGAATTAAAATTTCATATAAAATTGAAAATTTAATGAATTATAAAATTATATATCAATTTATAAAATTAATATGTTAAAAAATTAATAAATTACTGACGAAATATTGAAATTTCAATATTTCAAATAAAAATATTCGTTTTCTTACCCGTTAGATACAGCCGATACAACTTTACCCATCAAGCTACGCTTACCAAATGGGGAAAAAACAGTTTTGATTCGAATTGTTCACCTTATCGTTTATACGTTTTCAAACTACGTGTATTCGATTTCCAATAAATTAAAATCATGCAAGAATTTTATATTTTATACAAATTAATATGAATATTTTCGAATATTTAAAATATGCGTGTTTTATTCGTAAATATCGATATATTTTATCATGTAAAAAATTAGAATTACATGATAACACGATGTTATCTACGAACGATATAATTTTTTTAGTAAGTAAATTATTTTTTAAATAAATATAAATACTTTATTTCATGATTTATTGTATATCGGCGCGATATACAATATATAATTTATTTATTAATTTTTGCTATTCCGATTTTTAATAAATTTAATTCGAAATATTATATTTTAAACTTTTAAATATGTCAATTATAACAATTTATAATAAAAAAGAAACGCGATATCTTATAATTCTGCAACATTAATTAGAACGCGACATTAATTCAATTAATTTTTCACGGTTAATAAAGAACCGAAATTATTTTATTTTAATTGAACGTGTAATTAATCAATCGAAACATATACAAAATTGTAATGATAAACCAACATATATATAAGTCAAAAAATATTACAAACTAAAATGAACATAATAAAAAAATGATTTACCATTATATATAATTACAAATATTAAAACGCGATATGAAGAATAAGAAAACTTATTCTTTTTTAATAAATACAAAAAAAAAATTCACGGTAATAAATATCACCAATTATTGTATATGTTTGTATAAAATTTTATATATGAAAGCAATCGATTCGGATCTTTTCTATAACGATATGATTGACAGGAGAAATAAAAATACATGGGACTCACCATTAGATGCGAAAAATATTGCCATTGATACTGCAATGTACATCGAGAAATCATCGAGTGAATCATTGAAGGTTGAAAAATATCTGCAACAAAATATACAACATCATAATTAAAAACACAATTTATTTAAAAATAAAAAAAATTATTTAAAAATATTGAAATAATGAAAGATAAAATATCATATGTGCAATACAGTATTAATAAAAATTGAAATTCTAATAAAATAAGAGAATTATAAAAAAATTGGAATCTTGATATAAATATTTAAAAAAAAAAGATAATATTGAAAAAAAGATAATTATTTAATAATTAAATCTTTGAATGATTGATAATCATTTTCTTGATGCACTAGTTTTAACGTGTATCAAAAATAACTATTAATAAAAAAAAAAAAATAAAAGACTATCGATGCATCCATTACAATCATTGAACAATTATTGATTCTAATTTTGTATATAACTAATGCGATTAAATTTTCTTCATATTTTTCAAAGCTATTATGCTCTGAAAAATTACGTAGTTATATTATTACTGTTACGTAGTAAACACTGAATCTATCAACCGTTTTGCACGCGGTCACAACAATTCTTTGAAAGTGAAATATATTAGTAGAGTAGAGTGGGATAGAAAAACATTACACCGCAATTGCGTCGAAATATGTCTATGAAAACAAAACAAGTTGACAACAAGATTAAGTTCTACAAGCAATTTTTGACCAAAACATAGAAGAAAGTAAAAACTAACCAATTTCTTATTTAAATATTACATTTTTAGAGTAATTATTATTAAATATCAGTCATATAAATTACTTCAAATTTATGTATATCAATTATATATTAAATATATAAAATATTATTTTAAATATATTAAATAATATAATTGATATAATTGATATTAAATATATAATTGATATAATTATTATTAGTAGTCTAAAAAAAAAATCATACATATATATTTATATATGTATGTATATTTTTATATACCTATTTTATTAGAAATTAAAGATTATCCTATGTTCACGAAAACCAGAATTGATTATTTCAATTGATTCATTATTGATTTATTATTCATCATGGCGTCCATATTTTAAATTGGCATCCTTTTTCTTCGAATATAGTTATAAGCAATTAATAATCTGTATAAAAGAAAACCACAAATTTGGAAACTTTATAATATATAAAACTATAATCAATTATAACAAAATAAAATAATAATTAAAGTCAAATTTTGTTTGAAAAATTCATAATACAAATCATTGATAACCCTAAAAACCAAATTAGACAACTAACAACAAACTAACAAATAAACAATAATAAAACTATTAAATTTTGTTATAATAATCCTTAATAAATGATTAAATAAACTTAAATAAGAATAATAATACCTATAAACGGTAACAGGAACGTAGTAGAAACATATTACGCAGTTGAAATTGTTTTCGTTTCGCGGAGCGACACGTCTTATCGCCACGAATTCTATCGGCAGAGTGATGCGTGGCGCCCGTATGGAGTTCTGTTTGGTTGGAGTAATACAATATTCCCGCTAAATTCAAAATCGTGTAGAAAATTAAAACATTATTTATTATAAAAACTTTTCTCATTTAATCAATGAAATATAAATATTCTTATTAGAAGACCATAAAAAATATTTAATGTTTTGATTTTTACATGATAAAATATGTATATACTATAAATATATATATATATACTATATAAACACAAATAAGCGATTTTAAATATTTTAAGAAATATTTTCAAAATAATCGTGTAGAATGATTTCAACTAATTTTATTTATTAATTATTACTGATAATGATAAATTAAATTTTTAAAAACTTATAATATGTAAAAGTTAAATTTCTTCTTGTTATCGATATAAATGATAAAAATAAAAACATTTAACATTATTCTTATCTTATTAATTCATGTTCTAATTAAAGCTTTATTATTAAGCTAAAACTTAATATTAATAATAATCTAACAAAGAATTAGATAATTAATTTGTATTTTAAATATTATTTTAAATATTATTAAAATGCTATTTAAAACTTTCTAAAGAATATATATATTTGTTCCAAAAGATAATAAAAAAAATATATTTCATATATTACTAACTTTTTCTTTATGCATAACGAAATCCTGTTATGGAGTTGGAATCTAGTTACTGATTGTACTTAATGCGTATACGATCCATTTCCAAATTAGACCAAATTCATTTAATGTTCTGTTCAGATGTTTTTAATTTACGCTTTCCCGTTGGAACGAGTGATAAAGCTGGTGCTTTAAAGCTCGTTTTCCCCAACATAAAGCGTATGAGAACAGAATAGGAAGGGTATGTCTCACATCTGTATTGTTATCCTTTTGATGTCCTCCTCAAAGCTGGACCACATCGGGCTTTTACTCCCGTTTAGTAAGTGCAGGGAGGTAACGATAAATTTCTAATGATATAGTTCCATAATTTATTGTCCTCTATAATCAAATTATTATATTTCAATCTAATGTACTTGCTCTATTTTTATTAAATTATTTGATTTATTTTCGTTTTGATATTTGAAGATGCAAAAATACATTCTATTTTCTATTTTTTTCAAAAAATAAAATAAAAGTACGTATAAATAAAAGATCAACAAATTTTTATATACATTATGCGAAATATATTTATATTATTATATGTTATTTTATTAAAATGTATTGAAAATTTAGAAGAAAATTCGATTCAAAAATCTTTAAAAACTATTTCAAACATACTTTTTCTAAGGATATTAGATAGAACGGATGGTCGAAATACCAAATATAATTTATCGAAGACTGAGAATCAAGAGCCATCCCTGTATCCTCGGAATCTAGAATACTGTGGACACTAGAGAGAGGTAGTCGCACAGGGGGTTTATTAAGCTTATTAACGGACTATACAAGGGTGGACGTACATATCTACGCCGGTGGTCGTGGAAAGTATGGGCAGCTAAAAGGGGTGCAAGGGTGGAAGATAATGGTACATGTATGTGTTGTACCTTCATTCGTTTCATATAGCAGAAGTCGAGATTTCGGCTTGTCATACCTATAATTATCACTTCCCTTTGCGTTATTTCCTGTCCCGTATAGTTAATTTCTACCTTACTTCGACCTATTAAATCACGGATTTAAACTAATTATACGTATTAAAGGGAATGATCACAACGAAATTTAAAATTATAGAAATAATTTAAAAATCGTAATATTAATACGATATTTATATACTTTGTTTTTCTCATATTTTTCTTCGAATTTTATTCAAAGCACAATATATATAACTTACACGCATACTATGATAACTATAAAAAAGAACAGCTGTTTGCCAAATTAAAAATATTATGATAATGATAATCGTACAGTCATTTGCCTTCTAAATCGACCCTTTTTCATATGCTTGTTATGTTCCTTGACTGCATCCCCTTTCTATAATCGCGTGGCCACCCCAGCGAGTATTATTAGCTGCACGCTTTGCAATTGGATTAACGGAAGCGAAATTGCATCGACGGAAACGGCATAGATTGTTTCGCATAGTCACGAAAGTCCACCACTTTTGCTTGTTTCATCTAATGGAAATACTAGTATCATGAAACAATTATCGTCGCGAATCAAAAAACAATTTTAAACTTTATGTATTATCAAAAGCGCTTTTATCGATTTGCGAGAACGATAAAAACTATTAAAGTTTTATTTTCTTCAATTGAGGCTAAATTTGAATGATTGCGATAATACGTATTTCTAATTAAAAATAAAACATATATATTATCGAGCAAAATATATATTGTCTGGTATTCAAACGATACGCGAATATAAGAATAAAGGGTTGAAGGAGCTAAGGATCCCAGATTTGGATTTTACAGAACAGAGGAAGAGAGGTCGTCTAATCGTGTCCCTAGTCCTGATTTAGGGCGGGATTTTAATTACGAAGGGTCAGTAAGTGCGGCTGTCCACTTGCCGTAAGTATTTCTCCCTTATTTATAGTTCATTAGCTCGGCTTTTGCGCGAAAGGCAGATTAATTTACATCTGGTTGTACGACCCCTTTGAAATAAAATTTCACTCTGACCCTTATAATAAAGAGATCCTCGCAAAATATTGATAAAGTTTCATCCAATATTTTCAAAAATTTAAAGTTAAAATTTAACATTACATCAAGATACATTAGTTATCAAGATACTTGTGAATTTGAAAAAAATATTCTAATATTTTCATAATTATATAAGTACTTTTTACAAAATATTTCTGAATATAATTTTTAGACTTAAAGGAACGTGATCTCTAAACTAAAGATGATTAACGAGGTTGAACGTATCGCATTATTGTCGATTACCAAAAACAGGATGCTATTAAAGGAAAGTCCTTTCTATAACGAGACACTTTTTCTGAGAATCAAACTATCGATAAGCATGTCTTACGAAGCCCTTCCGGTGGCGCTGGAAGTCACTCGTTTCCGAGCGATATCGTCATCCTGATAAAAAGCGTAAAAAAAAATGTTTCTGTTTTTCCCTCTATCGTTAATCTGTTATCTCGCTCACCTCATTTCAAGATTTGTAATCTTATAATACTCGGAAAATAAATGTATTTTAATTAATAAAATTCTACTCTCTTTAAAAAAATCGATGCGATTGCTAATAAAATATGTCCCTTTATATCTATAAGATTATTACACGATTATGTAAATAGAATTTTTCTATTATAAGAAACAAATCAAACAAATTGAAGAGATAAATTGGAAATTAGAACAGTCAAATATGAGAAACAATCGAAATTACATCGTAATTATATGCAACACACGTGACAACTGCGATAGATCTGACCGGTGTCTTTCGCGTAAGTAATTGCGGTTTCACGACACGACACGCAGCCCGATTTTTGCGGTAGATCGGTGTGAACCGACAAAACCGATCGACGAGGTGTCCCTCGACCGCGCTTCTCGCTTTTAAAGACAGAGAGATAAGAAAACGCAGGTAAAATCGGCCACGGGTCAAAGCACCGTGCCACTTCCGAGAGGTTAATTACATTCTTGCGAGCTCCGCACGAACGAGTGAAACCGCATTTTGCTTCCTCGATTGCACTTTAGCAGACCACAGTGCAATAAACGGTAGCGTTGCGGGAACATGTTGGTGGAGACCTTTAAAGCACCTTATACTGTTTTTTCATGTATTACATATTCTGAGAAAATCCTTACCATCTAAACTATTCGCCACCAAATTCTTATCTTTCCAACGAAGATACAAATTAAGGAACATCGATGGATTTTGTTGGGTATTGAAGATTTTCTCAATAATTTCAAATGATGAACGACTTCTTGAGGAATTGAGATTTTTTGAGGAATTTCTTAAAGAATTCTGGATTTCTTCTAACTGGAAATTGAAAGAAGTAAGTTTTAATAAGGAAAGTTGTAAAGGATCATTATATGATATCATTAAGCAATAAAATTAGATCGAGTTTCGCTCAAAGAAAACCTTGCACCTTTATTAACAGTCTGGCGCCAGTTTACAGAAAAATATATCAAATATACAGTTCTATAAGTTCCACCTGGATTGCATTTTGCAATGGCTATCACAGGTAACAGCTTCCTACCTGGTGGAGTACAGGTTGGTGGGGGGTCACCGAACAAACTTCAAAAGAGAGGAAAAGAGATCGAGGGAGAGAAAAGGAGGAGGTTGAAAGTAGCGGTGGTACGAAGGAACAAAATCCCGAGGGTGGGGCAAACGATCCACGATACGGGAGAGCCCACCCCCACTTGCTCCCCCAATCACAGGCTCCGCCTCCAGAAAGCCGCGTGACGTCACACAGACACTTGTTACGCCTTGCTGAAGTACTGGATTATCACTTGGATCTTGCTAACCTGAAAAAATTACCCTTTTTAATCCCTACAAGTCGTATTTCAATAGTCCATCTATTTTTCTATTATCTATTTACCTTCAAAAATTGAAACACTTCGTTACTTTTTTTTTTTCATTTTCATTCGAATTTTTCGAATACTTCAATTCAAACATCATTTGAAACATTAGTATAAGCATTAAATATGACCACTGCAAAAAAAAAAGAAAAGAGAAACGATTTGTGATAAATTTGCTTGATTATGTTCCTGTATTGCCAGGGATGATTTATTTCCACTTCTGAAAATATACATAAATATTATTTTCATATTACATGTAGGAATCGCAATCTTCGATTATCGGTATATTTAAGTAATCATTATTTCAAAAAAGGATAAGAGATTCCAACAACAATACGATTACGATATCGCGAGTGTTGAAAGATTGACTTGTTTTTGAAAATAATACGATAACATAGGAAATTTCGACGATACTACTTATTTTTTCCTTATCGGTGTTATAACTAACAAAAAGATTAGGTTATGACTAATTGCTATGAATTAGTTCGAACATCGAATATCATACTGTTATTTTATTTATACACACGTTTAAAATATATTAATAGTAATTGGTTGAATCAGGTTATGATCGAATATAAAATTAACTGCTTGAATATGCTAATAGATTTACAAATAGATACAATTATAGCTAATAACTATGATGACACATAGAAATTTCCGTAAATTCAGTGTAGCAATGAAACATGTTGCATTTACCTACCTTTCACGTTGTACGAATGGCCTTCAATGAAACTTTTTCTTCTACTATGTCGATAAAATTATTCTTATTTTTACATATTCAAAAGTTGAAACAACTAATCACTTTGCGATTAATCTAATATCATATTATTGAACTTTTCTTTAAAAATTGAATTAGATAATTGTTTTTAAAACTAATTACAAATCGTATACATTTAATATCACTCTGTTCTTAAATCTATTAGATTCGTATACATTTCACGCACAAAATTAAAAGAAATTATAATTTCGAACAATAAACTACGAAACATGTGACTGGAAACGACGCCATTGTCTCTTACTCTCACTTCGAGAATCGCAATCATAGCTAGCGATTATCGAACGTCCAATCGATCGAGATCGTAATATTTTCTACCGGGCGTGGCGCTACTTAACCTTTTAGTTAACCTTAATTTGCGTGTCTCTATTCAATTAAGAAAAAAACATGACAAACCAAATATATCGACGAAGTAAATCATGTAACATTCAGTTTAATCGTATGATATAATCCAAGTATTTGGACGTTGCTTAGAAATTCGTTGAAAATTAGCCACGCATTTTTTCTATCAAAATAACTTGTACAAATAAGCCGAGAAATATGAAAACACGGACACTGGTCACAAAACGAGTCCACACGATCGGAGGGCGGGCGATCTGACAGTGGGGATATGGGACTGTCGAAGCGCGGCGGGAGGACGATGTCGACGGTGGGGAGCGTCGGAATTGCAAGGCTTAGGTTGCCCCGGGCCGCTTACGCGGAACACGCGGCTGAAGCCGCGCCGCCGGCATTACGTCGCGCACCGTCGACCGCGACTGACGTTCCTATAGATATTTCTCATTTCCATTTTTTACGTCTACTTCGATATCCTGTGTTTAATCGATACAAGCAAATATTCGATCGTGTTTCTACACGATATCGAATCTCGATCGCGAATAAAGTGAAAGTTTATTTTCTAACCTGTCGTGCTAGAAAATCCGAAGTATTGACGCTGTTATTCGACAACCTGTAGGAGTTTCCAACTGCCAAAACGTGTTTACATCTTCGACAAGTGATTAAATTCAGAATAAATTCATAGATCGTGCATCGATCTAAAGATCACAGTGACATCTCGCGGACTAAAAGTGCAATAGAAGAGAAGAATAGTTTCTGATTGGACGTCAATATTGGATAATATTGGATAATATCGTCATGGCGGTGGCGGGAAGCTAATAGAGAATATATTCGTCATGGAATTGGACGACACTGATCATACTCTACATGCTTAAGAAGATAGGATGAACGTGTTGGTAAGTATCCTGGACATCCGTCGTGTGAACCAGAAGCGGAGAAGCAGTTGTTGGAGAAGAAGTTGCTGGTAGCAGCTATAGCAGAGGAAAGTCCGTGGAGTGCACAGATCGAGAAGGCAAGTGAAATCACGACGTCTTGTCCGGAGGGTACGTGCTTGGGCGACGAGGGGCGGCAACTGGCCGATGGGATGCATCTACCGGTGGGTTCCGTGGGTTGCGGGGAGAATTACGCCACCGTTGGATCCCACGAAGGCGCCGGTCCGTGCGGCCCCTCACTGGCGCCTCTTCAGGGGGTAAACACCAGGTACCAGCAGGCCGACGACGCCGACGCCGGGGGAGGTGGTGGCGAAATGAGCGAGGGTGCCGCCGTCGGCGAGCTTTGGTGGACCGAAAGACTCGTCGGCGAGGCACAAGCTGAACATCCTGGTGAATTAGTTCGAACAGGTTCGTATTCTTTCTAATATGGCTACCGAAAAAAGGTATCGTTGATTGGTCGAAACGTTTGACGTCATTTTCAATTCGAACGAGCGGGAAAGCGGCGTATAGAATGGAAATTTCGTCGCAACGCGAATTCATCGCGCGAATTAAAAAAGAACGATAATATTTTTAAAAAGTTTTCAAGTATCGCTTTTCGTAGATTTTTCGTAGAGAAGAAAAGTGATAAACATTTGTCATAGTTTGTGATAAGAATATAGTTACGATATTAATTTTTAAACAAGTATAAAAAAGTAGGTTAAAAAAGTAGGGTTAGGTATCTATACATCACTAGTCGTATATCTCTATTTCTATTCTCTCAACAAAAACGTTGAACGTTTTTATATTTTTACAGGATCACCATATTTTCTCTGCAGTCAATTGCCAACACATTGGAGATCCAACAAAACGCTTCCAGTTGCGTTCAAAGTTGTCGCTCTGGGCGAAGTCGTCGATGGAACATTGGTGACAGTACGAGCGGGTAATGATGAAAACTGTTGCGCCGAACTAAGGAATTCCACCACGTTGATGAAGAACCAAGTCGCCAAATTCAACGATTTAAGGTTCGTCGGAAGAAGTGGTAGGGGTAAGTGTTTAAAATAATTATTCGTTTATTATTAAAATTATTACTCGTTTTACCAATAATTATTTATTATTGGGTATCAAAGGCATACTATTTCTTTCTTCTTCTCCTCATTCTAAAATAAACAAATTACAAAATAGTCAAAACATATATATTTGATTAATTTTGCTTTATACCGTTACATTGTTACACAACGGCGACGCAAAAAGTTAAAGTTAAACGTAAACATTTTGGCAAAGTATTATATCTATTTTAAAAGATATTAGAATCGGATTTCAATCCGAAGATATTCAATTCGATGATCAAAGCTCGAGACAAGCCATTAAACGAGCCAATAGAGATAGTTAGTTTTGAGGTTTCGAGTGTCATCGTCAGTGGCATGTCGCTTTGTAAGTCGTTGAAAAAGCAGCCAGTAAATTATCTGTACAAGAGAGGCACGTACCGTGATTTCGAACCCCCTAAAAGCACGGTTATTGTAATCATCATCGTCATCAACTGGCCTCAACCCCGCTTGACTCGTCTCTCGCTTTTAAACCCTCCGCATCCGCGAGTTCCCTCGCATCCCGCCGCCCCCAGAGTCATTACTCGATGTCCGCCGGTAGCCCCGACCTAGCATCCGAAACAACTGGCCGTTAATCAGAAATCATCGTTCGTCGGCCGGAGAGGAAGGGGCTAAGTCTCGAAAATCAAGCGAATCCGTTCGATGTTCGCGTTTTTTCTCGAAAAGAAAAAAAAAAAAAAAAAAAAAAAAAGAAAAAAAAAAAATAAAGAAGAATATAAAAATCCAATCCATCCGGAAACGAGTGTAAAGAAAGGTGAGGCGGCGAGGGCCGCGTTTTTAATTAGCGAGCGTAAATATCTTCTTTTACGTTATTTGCGCGTTATTAGTTAATTCACACTTGGCGAAACCGCAATCGTTAAACTGCTTTAAAAGGTATAGATTAAGCTTGAATACAGAAATTAAATCGCGCCGGCCGCGAACAAAGTTACACGTATCAACCGGGAACCGGGGCTTTTAATAAATGATTTCCAAACGGATCGATCGACCGACAGCTTTTTAAATAATTCGTTTTTGCGCCGATTAAGTCGTAGATTTGCGTGCGGCACGTCGATCAGCTACGATTATCTACGGGCCGCCAGGTGAACCCATCCGGTCCTACAAATGCATTTTGCACCCCACGCATCGTACGATGCATTTATGAATTAACGAGCCGGACTGCTCGCGTTGGAACTGCACGTCCGTCGATAGCATCATCTATGTTTCATTCCATTTCATCATGAAGTGCAGGGTCAGCGAGGTTCCATCCACCTCCTGACACCGGATACGCTATCCCCGAAATCAATTAGCGAAAGGGACACGTCCCTCGCCGAAATCCTTCGATCCCTTTGTCCAGTTTTTGGTATTTTTTTTTTTTGTTTTTCCTGTTTTTTTTTTTTTTTTGTTTTTTTTTTCCCCTGTTTCACTATCTCTCCTCGATAATCCGTAATACTCAATTTCGACGATTGACCAAACCACCCTCGTACCAGCCGCGACCGGCCAGTCGACCTATCCTCCTATCATCGAGATTTTGTTTCCGCGACTTATTAATTTGATTGAATCCTACCGCACCGCTTCGATTCCCCTCGATATTGCCGATTCGTCCAAGAAATTCGATGGAAAATTCGAAACTTCGAAATCTCCCTCTTCCCCCATAGCTTCTCCTTCCCTCTCCTTCAAAGCGTGTCAATAGAGAGACAGAGCAGAGAGCGGAGAGTTGCCGTTTTGTTGCGAAGAAAGGGGGAAAAAAGAAAAGAAGAAGAAAAGTAACGGGGAATGGAAATGAAAAACGAAAATGAAAGAATGAAAGAAGTTCGGAAGGAAGCGGGATAAGATTGGGCTTGCACAAGGAGGGTTGAAGTACGAGCTAGGTGGAGAGGAAAGATGTTTACAATTATCACCTTCCGTGAAGATGGATCGGCGATGGTAAACTGGAGGTAAAAGGAAAAGGGAGATGGGACGGTGGTGGCGGATCAAAGGGTGAGGAAGAGAGAGAGAGAGAGAGAGAGAGAGAGAGAGAGAGAGANGAGGGGCTTTGGACGGGGAAGGGGGGCGTTCCGTGATCGTCGGGACCGAGGCAGGCCCGTGCCTATAATTAGTAATATACCGCAGTCTATATCGACACGGGTGAAATTACCACCGATAGTAATTATTTGACAATTGCAGAGACATCCTGTTGCGAGACTCGGGATCGGGACCTTCGTCCCCGTTCCACCGAACCCTTCGTTTTCCATCCCAACTTGCCGCTCTGCCTCTCCTACTACTTGGAGAGAGGAGCAGCCGGCCACCTCGCCCCCTTCTCCCTCTCTCCCACCCCCTCCCCCTCGCTCCCTGGTGCCACGAGTATTAACGGACGGTTTCGAGTGGTTTCGGATGGTTGTGTGGGCGGTTTGGGATGGCGTTCATCTCATCCTCGGCACCGTTCGAAACGCACCGACACATCGAAACAAGCCGGAGTCGCGGCGGATAACCGGCGATGTGGTGCACGTTATATATATATATATATATATATAGGTGGCACATACGCGTGGCCCGGTTTTGTCCGTCTGTCCGTCCGTCCGTTCGTCGTTTCGCGAATGCACAGCCTGGGTGTCCTGTCTCTGCAGATGACCGTTCCCATCATCGAGTATTAACCGCAGGTCCGGCCAGTCGGTGGGGGAAATCGGCTGTGCGGCATTATTAGCCCCAAATGCGATGGACTCGGAGAAGGATGGCGGGAAAGGGGTGGTCGGGTGTCGTGCGCGAATTCCCTTCCTATGATCGCTTACGATACGACGGTCACCGAGCCACGGCACAGCTTCCTCTTCTCTCTCTCTCTCTCTCTCTCTCTCTCTGTTTCCCAGATTTTATTCCGTCCGCGAACGAGAGAGGAGAGGAGCAGAATTCTCGAGGAACGCGGGGATCAAGGGGGTAGGAGACGCTAATTCAGAAGAGGGATGACGAAGAGAAGGAAGAATATCCGGTCGATGAACCGCGCGATTATCGAAGCCGCGGTCGTAAAAGCGAAAAGACAAGCGTGTAATTGCTGTGGAGCTAGGGCCGATCGATTCGGCTAATCGATTTTAAAACGGAAGTCGGAAAGAGGGGAGCGATGCGATGCGCGTGATTTTTGGTGTTCCGAAACGAGCCACTTTGCGCTAGACCGAAATGATGACGATAACAAGGATGTAATGACGGGCGCGAGAGCGACAGCATCGCGGCTGAGAGGGTGGTGGAATGGGGGCGGAGGTCGAGCGGCGGCTCGCGGGGGGAGGGAGGGAGAGGGCACGCTATAACTAGGATATAACGCCGTGCCTCTGTGCAGTCAGTTGCAGCTCCCGGGGGTGGCGGGGTTGGGGGTGTTTGATGCCGGTTATCATGTTGACAGACACAGCGAGGTGGACCAGGGTGCACCAAGGGGAGACAATTACAAATCGTTGACGTTTACGCCAACACAAACGACTATATGTCCGCGACACGTTAGATATCCTCTCTTTAACGCGAACCGACCGATCTTCTTCGTATTTGTCCATCGATCGATCCATCTCGCGCTCCAGATATCTCTCCCCTCCAATTTCGTCCCATCCTTCCCCTCCTTCCAATTTTTCCCCTCCCATAAAAAAGGGACGAGCGAAAGGAACGAGGAGGAGAGAAAGAAATCGCGACGCTTTGGCACTCTCTTCCTTCTTCCCTATCCACCCTACCCTACCCACTCACCTACCTACCTACCTACCTACCTGAGAAGCATTCATCTATTTTTAAGTGGTACCGAATCGTGCCGACACAAAGTAACCGGAGGGGGAGGAAGGCTCGATGGCTATAATAATCCGGTTGACTTTTTACCGGTCGAAAGAGACAAGGGGGTTTGTTCCGTTGGAAGACAGCAGACAGGCGGCGGAATTACCGAATGCATATTAGCGAGCGTTTAAGAGAGCGTAGTCAATCTCTGCGACGGACGTTTATGGAGAGGGAATTAATATACCGAACCTTCAACTTCGAGACCTTGGTCGGTGATATACGCACACCGGTGCTCCACCCTCCGAACGTCCTCTTCTCCTCGTTCCCTCTTCTCCTCGGCCCGCGCGGACGCTCTCTCAAGACACTCGCGGTCTCCGCTCGAAACCGAACGGAGGTGAACGTAATTGCGGGAGGACGAGATCGTAAACTATTTAGATCGCGATTCGGTCGACCGCAGTCTACGGGCTGTGTCGCAAAATTCATTCGCCCCGAAACTCGATCGATAAATGATAAATCGATGATCTTCCTCGATTTGGGGGAGGGGGAAATTGGAGAGGGGGGGATAAATATCTTCTCCCCTCCACCTCGATACGGATTTTTCGATTTAATTAGAGACGTGTTTTCAGGGAAGAGCTTCAGCATCACCATCACGGTGTCGACGACGCCTCCCCAAGTGGCCACGTACACGAGAGCCATCAAGGTGACCGTGGACGGACCCAGAGAGCCCCGATCCAAAACGAGTGAGTAGATCAAACACTTTCCATCCTCTGGTGGACCATGGATCGCGAGATCTATCCGCGGCCACCGGCTGCTACTATCCCGTCGATTCCCTGAAAATGTACCGATAATTCAACGAAAGTCCCTATACGCGGTAATGGGAAGTCATTACAGAGCAGATGGTGCGCGATGATGCAGTGGTCGATGTGCGTACCGCGCGTATGCGTGTTTTGGGTTAGCTATTCGCCAACCCCCGCTACACGGACAATGCTTTTACCAGCACACCGCCGCGTGAAAAGTAATCCACTTACCGTAATATACTATGAAAACCTCCAAAAATATCCGTTAATTATCGATGCTTGACCATGCTTAATAACCGGTGTGTCGTATCATGCGTATTTGCCATACCGACGGATTCAACCTGCAAATAGTAATACCGAAACCGTTCCATCCTTTCACGATTTTTTCTTTTTTCCTTTTTTTTTTTTTTTTTTTTTAGAATTTTTAGAGTAGAAAGCGTTAAAAAGTTTCCCTCCTCCTCCTCCTCCTCCTCCGGAGTATTCCTCTCCGAGGAAAGGTTCTTTTCTCGAGATTCATCCTACTTTTTTGGGCCGAGGGATTAATTTATTCGTTTTCGACACGTACCGCGGAGGATAGGGGATCAGATGGGGGAAGGACATGGGGGCGGAAAGCTTTTAAAAAATTACCGCATATTGAATATTTGGAAACCGCGAGGATAACTCGATACCGAAGCGAAAATACCAGGGCAATAATGAAATATTTAATTTCGTCGAAGCTGGAAAAATCGTCGTTTATATTCAAACTTTAGCAGTTTTTTTAGATTATCAATTCACCGGTTTCGCATAATGGATCCACAAAACGTAAATTTATTTACATATAATAAATATTTGTCGACGAAATACGTCTCTGCCCATGCGTCGAGAAAAGAGAGAGAATTCGAAAAACGCGGAACAATTGTCCCGGCTTAAGCGAGTACCACCAATTTCGAGTTCCGTTCGTAGGAAAAAAAAAAAAAAAAAAAAAAAAAAAAAAATGCCTGTTATTTCGATATCAGATTAATAGCCGCTGCGGAGTCGACCACGAATACGGCAGCTTTTTGCGGACGTTTCGCATTTGTTGTATAAAGTATTGATAGACGTAGGACGATGCGTGCCCACCGGTCTCGCAGATTTTTTTTTTTTTTTCCCCTCCCCTCCCCTCCCTTCCCGTTTTTGTTTTTTCGAAATGGACCAACGTGATTGATTTTTCTAACATTTTTATCGTTCGCTCCGGTTCCGCGGGCCGGCAACGATCGATAAACGCGAGTTACGCGCGAATCTATCGTTACAATCCATCCCTCCCCTCCTCCCTCCCCTTTTTACGACGATCATCGCAAAATCGTTCGTAGGATATTTCCGATCGATCGAAAATTTGTTCGCGAAGGACATACGTATACGATAGAATTTCAAGCTATTTACCCGTTAATACGGGGAAAACTTGACAGTGCTTTGCGCGAGATGGACGTTTGTGTTTTGTGTTTCTGTGTATGAAAAAAATCAAAGCAAGCAAATTGATGTTTTTTTTTTTCCCGTCCACGTAACCAATGGAAATCAACGGGATATCAAAATATCGCTAATGCCGTGAAATAAAAAAAAAAAAAAAAAAAAAAAAAGAAAAAAAGAAAAACGCGAATCGAGTTCGGTCAGCTTAGACGAATACTCCCGATACGAAGATGATTCGACCGATTCGTTCTACAGCCACGTTTCGTTCGATCATCGCGAAGAAGAATTTTCGAGTTTTCGAAGTCGATTTCGAAATCTCTTCTCTCTCGAGGACGAGGATTCCGTGGCGGGCGGGAGAAGAAATGGAGGGCACGCATCACGACATATTGCATACACGAGTTTCGGACAGCGATGGCGTGCCTCCTCGCTGGCGGCCCGGCCACGCACCACGGACAATCCATGTAAACGACCAAGCGTGTACGGGAGCCGTCGGGCGAAACAACCGGCGCTCTCATTGTCCTCGCTTGCGAACGATGCGAGCCACGGCCGCTCACCAGACACCTGCCGGCTATCATTATTGCGTGGATAATCGGGCGAGCTTTTTGTTATCGGGAATCACCACCCCTCGCCCCGTTTCTCGACCCGCCCCGGCTGTTCGCCCGGTAATCGCGCAATTTTTCCAATTCACCGGCCCGTCGTCGCGTGTAAATACCGAAAACTCGGCCACCGGACGGCGCGCGACCGGGCTAACGGACTTCCAAGGCCGAGAACTTCTTCGAAACCAACCAAGTCGCCTTACAACGCGGTCCAGAATCTTATTCTTCTTCCTTGCCAAAAATCGACCGAGGATCGTAGGCAAGAAAATTATTTAATACGCGTGTTTCGATATTGGCCATTAATATAATTAATAAGTTTTCGTTGATCGAGGTCAAAGGATGTCTAACATAATAATTAGTAATAGTTCTCAGTGATAATCTCGTCGAGGCCAATACGAGCCACCATGATACGAATTCGTTTAGATTATTAGAATTAGAATTAGACGGCACGCGACCGGGATAACGGACTTCCAAGATCGAGAATTTCTTCGAAACCAAGTCGCCTTACACTTCAAACGCAATCCTTCCACAGAATCTTATTCTTCTTCCTTGTCAAAAATCGGCCGAGGATCGAGGGCAAGGAAATTATTTAATGCGCGTGTTTTGTTTAATTCGAAGTTGATGTTCGAACGCATTGTGTCGATATTGGCCATCAATATAGGTTTTCGTTGATCGAGGTCAAAGGATGTCTAACGTAATAATTACGTTATCGTTCTCGTCGAGGCCAATACGAGCTACCACAATTCGTTTCGATTGTTAGACTTAGAATTAGACGGCGCGCGTGGAACGAAGGGAGACGATGATGCGAAGTGGCCGGCGGCAGGCCTAGTTTTCTCTCGGTTGGTCGGAAAACCATTGCTCGATCGGATCCGGAAACAGAGAACGAGTCGAAAGGGAGGGAGGGAGGGAGGGAGGGACACGCGAATCGGTTGGAAACGAACGGAGAAAAGGGAGTTGCGAAACAAAGTGGCTACCGGGTATCCATCACTGCGGCCGAAAATCATCGAAACGGTCCCCGGGAAAACAATATCGATAGATCGGCCGCTGTCAGTCAAACGTTGAAATTGAATTTGCTTGCCCGGTAATTGTTCCGCGTTTGGTATTTCGATTAGAGACAAGAATGCACCGCGCGCCGTGCCCCTATCTCTCTCTCTCTCTCTCTCGAAATTATTTTCCGTATCCTCCGTAGGAAAAGCTTGGAATCCCCATACGTGTATTTCGAAATTATGTATTTCGAAAAAAGAAAAAATCCTATCCACAATCGGAGCGGGACACTTTCGATCCGATTAAGATCGATCGAGGATGCTCGATCTTCGAGATCGTCGAAGAATTTTACATGGATCGAGAGAGAAAGCCGTCCATCGAAATCTCTTCGTCCATAGCTGATTGGACGAAGAAAGAATTGGAAGGAATGTTTGAAGCTTCGACGAAGATTCTCGTTTCTAACTTTTGCGAGGGGAAGGGGAAAGGGATCGCGAATTCAGGATCAAGAGATTATTTTGCCGTTGTTTCCGCGGGAGAAACGATGTTTCTTTGCAGCGAACGAGAAAGAGAGAGAGAGAAGATCGGAGCAAAATTGTCGAAACGGCCTGGCGGAGGCCGTCGGTGGCGCGGCGTCAAGGAGGACGTAAGACGAGCGGAGGGAGGGGCCCGTTATTAGAGAGGAGGAAAAAAGCCGCGCTATTTCCGTCCTCCGGGGCTGCCACACTTTGATTAGATAAGCCCACCACTCGTGCTGCGGAGATTGGAATTATTCTTCTCTCTCTCCCTCCCTCCCTCCCTCCCTCCCTCCCTCTCTCTCTCTCTCATTCTCTCCGTCCTCTCTGCCTCACCACGTTCAACGAAGGTGTTATATCACGATCGTTCTTGTTCATTGTAATTAACCGCCTTTCCGCTTCTAGATTCGGATAGCAGGTACGTTCTCAGATATCCCGTTGCGCGGCTCGACGACGCGATAGCCAATCCCCGATAATTTCACGTTTTCATTCGAATAATATCAACATAGTTTTTCGCTTCGACTCGTCCATTTTCGATTCGTCTACTTCACTAGTAGCTAAGAGAGAGAGAGAGAGAGAGAGAGAGATACGAAAAATCCCTTTCCTTTATCGTCTTTAACTCGCTCCATTCTTCCACTTTGCTCCCGTTCGTGGAGTTCGAAGCTTCGCCCCGAAAAGAGCGATTCTACCGATACGTTTGGGGAGGAAGAGGGGAGGGAGAGGGAGAGGGAGAGAGGGGGGGGGCATTACGAGCGTCCGGTACGTGAGAAGTCGTGGGATCCGGTCGTGGAGCCGAACGCGGTGCTCCCTCGTTTCTTGGGCCTCGTGTACGGGCGAGGAATCGTGGTAGTCGGTAGCGAGGAATAATCTTGTAGGCATCGGTTGCCGCACCGGAGCTGACCATCTGGGCTCACCGACAATTTCGTGCAGTTTGCGGTCGAACTTTATTTGTCGTTCGCCCTCGTGGCCCGAGTCTCTCCTCTGCTGTTTTCCCTCTTCCTTCCCTTCGCCCCTCCCCCGCCCTTACGAATAACAATTTGCGCCTCGCGGCTCCCCATTCTTACCTTCCTCTACCTCTTACCGAGGGCCCGTTTCCGAGGGGAACAGGGAGGGGGGAGTGCTCCACTTCTTTCGATCGACGACCACGTCTTCCTCTCCTCCTCCTCCTCCTCCTCTCCTTTCGCCTGTTCGATGGAAGAAGGAATCGTCGTTTTTCTTTTTATCTTTTTATTTTCTTTTTTTTGAGGAAGAGGAGGAGGAGGAAAAGTAGAAAAATTAGGATTCGACTCGGTCGTTTCGGGGATGAAAAAAAGACGGAGGCGGTGATTTTGCCACCGAATGTCATGTACAATGTGATTACGTAAGCAATCGAGGGTATACGCGTGGCGCGTAATGCGCATTCGCCGTATAAACGATGCACACGCATATTGCGTATCCTCCCCAATAGAGGAATCGCCGGTGTCCGGTGTGTGCACTGTGCGGATACTCTCCTACTATTCGGAGGAGGGAGATGGAACGCGCGAGGAATGCTATTGAAGTCGATCGAGGCGCATAGCAGCTCGAGTTTCTTAATTATCCCTCTCTATATCGGCCTAATTGCACAAACATTTGCTCCCTCCTTATCGGGCCCGATTCGCCATTCGGAAGGCTAGGCTTTTTTTTTCACGAACTCGGCTCTGCTCGAAGCTAATCCACTCACAGAGGAAAAGGAAAAGGCTGGTAACGGATAAGAAAAATAGGACGAAGAGAAAGCGGAGGGGAAGAGAGAACGGTTGGTTTATTTTGCAGGGCAGACTCACATCCCCGGATTGGCGCGGGTTCCCGCGCTTCCCCGTGTTCCCGGCTTGACCCGAGGGACTTTCCCCGACGCGCCAAGCCCGTTCACTCCCTACCTTCGGGACTCGGAGCCGTACAGGAGGAATAAGCATCACGTCGGCAACAACGTCACCGCGAATTCGGTTAGCGGTGCCTGCACCAACCCCAACAACACCGACCCGACCGCATCGCCTGCTTCGAGCGCGCACCTCGGGCCAAACAGCGGCTCCTCGGCTCATCAGGATTGCTACAAGCACAGCCCTCAGCACGGTGGTGAGTTAATCCATTCTCGCGCTCTATCCCGCTTCCTTTTGCGAAATTCCATTCGAGGAATCGAATCTTAATTAATTTTCTGGAAAGTCGATTCGATTCGATTCGATTCGATTCGATTCGGTTGTAAGATTGAGAAGATTCGTCGCGTCGTTTCGTTTTCGATTCCGACAGCGGATATCGGCGTGTTACGACGATGCTTCGCTCGTATCCTATCCTCGTGGCTCGTGGAGCGGCTGTGAAACTACGCGCAAACCCCACCCACCCCCTTCTCCTCGATCGCGGGGAGGGGAGGCGAGGATGGCGAGGGATCTGGAAGGGGAGGGAGGGATCCGCCGTTTCGCGAGGTAATAGTTTCATACCTCGTTCCGGCTCTGCACCCTCTAATTCAACGTAATAACGACATTCAACCTGCCGTTTCCATCTCTTCTCCCGCTGATCTCCAACACGATCCACCCGTTGTTGTCTCTCCAGCACGAGGCCGAAACTGTCCTCTCGCTCTCGCTCTCTCTCTCTCTCTCTCTCTCTCTCTCCGGCCGAAAGATGATTTAGCCGGGGAGAGGGTAAGAGAGGGGAGGGAGGGAACGAGATCGGTATTTCTCCCGGTGTTTTATCATCGTCGTAAAACGCGATCATGGATCCCGGATGGATCCTATTAAATACGGTTAAAAATTCAGCAAACTGGATTAAATCGAGATTTGACGAGAACGTTTCGAGGCCGTCGAGGTGGTACGGTTTCGATGATCGAAGATGCGAAAAAAGGCGGGAAACTCGGGGGTGGGAGGGGAGCCACTTTATTTCTGCATGGCATCGTCTCGCATCAGCGGTCTCGACCTGATCAAAGTTAAGTAGACGCGCCCCTGGCTGGCAAGACCTCTTTGAAGCTACGTTGCGGTTTCTCTTTGCCCTAATCTCTCTTCTCTCTTCGTCCCTCCTCCTCCCCTCTCCCTGCCTTCTCTCCGCCCGATCGGCCCAACTTTGTCGCACCCGTGTCACCTTCCCGGATCGCCCGACCATTCTAATTACCTCGTCCAAACTCCCTCTCTCTCTCTCTCTCTCTTCTTTGATCAACGCGAGATACTCGAGATTCCGTCTTTTCATTTGCGAAATCGATTAGAAATTTTCAAAATTCGATTGCATTTTCACATGAATGGAAACGATCGAGGCGAGACGATGCCTCGGTTTATCGGTCACCCATTCATCTCTTCTTCTTTCTCTTCCTCCTCCTCTTCCATTTCTTCTTCTTCTTCTTCTTCTTCTTTTTCGCGTTCCGTGTCTACTTCGCGCCTAATGAGCGGATCCAAGGGCCGAATGGGCACACGTACGAATGAGCGCAGAGAGGGAGTGCGAAATGATGAGCGTCGGTGGATGCAATTTTCCCCCTCCTTTTCTCTCTCCTCCTCTCTCTCTCTCCTTCTCTCTCGCCCCGTGTTTTCGAGGCAAGCCAGCACCGGATTCAGAGTTCCCCTTCTGAATTTACAATCGGTACAAGAGACTCGTGCACTCACGTACCGCTCACGTGCACGTCTGCGTAATACCAGGGATCGATCGATCGCTTCTCGATCGATCGAGAGCTGGATCCATGTTGTTTTTGCCGCTCGATCCACCGACTCCTCCTTTTGTCTCGGGCTCGGTTCGCTTGCGATGCCGTTGTAGACGTTGTTGAATCGACCATCCCCCCCTTCCCCCTCCTTCTCCCATCTTCGTAATCTTCTTCTTCTTTCGTTTCGCCTCTCCTTCTCCGCCACTGTTCTCTCTCTCTCTCTCTCTCTCCTCCACCTCCTCCTCCTCGGTGATTGCTCTCTAAATCTCGCCTACATGATCTCGCTCGAGATCGGCCGGCACCGTTTACATCCCATGAATCGCATCGGGCGAACCCTTTACTCGATCTCGTCCCCTTATTCACTCGCCTTCCATCCGCTCCTCCTCGAAACGAAATTTGTCGGCAAAAATGCGAAGGGAAAACGACGCTGCGAGAGACAAAAGCGCGACACTGGCGAAGGTTTTTTTGCAAGGAAAGGAAGAAGAAAAGAAAGGGGGTAGCGAGCGTTACTCCTATCTGTTATAATATAACCGTGTCCGTTTCTCTTTTGCCCGAAGCCTCATCTCGAGTCGTGATCGGGGTAATAAGCCGGTGGCAAGCGGGCCCGAGTGGCCGAAGAGGAGGGGGGGGTGTGGTGCGCGGGGAATTGAAGGAGGAGGAGAGTTGCTCTCTCGAGACGAAACGAAACGAAACGAAACGAAACGAAACGAAACGAAACGAAACGAAACGAGAGAAGGAGAAAATAGAAACGACAGGAGAGATGCCGGGCGGCGACCGACCACGTGGTAGGGGTAAGGATGCTGATTATGGGGTGTCAAACAATCACGCTGATTGTATATTCCTCCTCTCTCTCTCTCTCTCTCTCTCTCTCTCTGTCTGTCTATCTCTATCTCCGCGTTTACTCGCAGCGTAACCCGAAAGCGATGGATCTGTCTTGTTTCCTCGCTCGGCTGCACCTTCCCCGTAGAACATCCGTGGCGTAAAAATTTTTCCAGTCGCGGAAACAAATTACAGAGAATAGAATTTTCTATTTTATCGGAAAGAAGGGGAAAAAAAAGAAACTGCGAATTCGTCGAATATTTCTAACGATAATCTTTCTTATCGAAAGAAAAGGAAAATTAACTCTCTCTCTCTCTCTCTCTCTCTCTCTCCATTTATTAATGATAATTGGCCAGCGAAGAGAGGATTCACAATTTCGCGATTCCCACGTGACCACGCGGAGAGGAGAACGCGGCTTACCTTTCCGTCCCGTCTCCTTCCCTTTTCCTCCACCTACCGATGATTGTCAGTGTTTTCTTTACCCGTGGACGTGGATTTTGTCCGACTGAGGGAGAGAGAGAGAGAGAGAGGGAAGGCTTTAATGGAAGGCTTACAGTGCGTGCTTGTACGGAATCATTTACTCGTTCCTCGGTTGGGAATTTTAGTTAAACGGTACTCTCCGCTACCAGAAGAGAAGAAAAAAGAAGAGAGAGAGAGGGATCTTTGTCGTTTAATGTCAAGCTGCGGCCGGATTCGCGTAGAATTTCATCTGGAAAGTCTTGCCATTCCCTCGTATACACGCGCAACTTCTTTTTAATCCTCGCGGCTGGTATCACGTGTGGTTGATTAAATTTCTCTGCCGGCGTCGCCGCCTTCGCAGCGTCTGAGGTCTCTCCCTCCTCGGAGGGAGGAGAGTGAGGGAACGGGTTCAAGGGTGTAGCCTTTCTTAAGGGGTGCGAGAGAGGGAGCAAGTTTGCAGGCAATTAGGAAAGTGTCACATACACTCCTTTCGCGAGTCTCCCCTCCCCCTGCAACACGCCAACCCCTATCATACTCTATCACCCGGGTTATTAACGCGCAAGCTTAAACTTGTTGCCAATTCGCAAAGGATCCGTGACACGCGGGAGGAGGAAAAGGAAAAGGAGGAGAACGCGTGCGATCACCGAAACCGCCCTTAAAACTACTTCTATCTTCCTTCCGTTCGTTCCAAGGAGGGAGGGCGGTATTTTCCAGATTTTTCGGAACGATAACGACTCTCCCTGTTATCTAAAGCGACGGGTAGTGTCCCCTTCCGAGCGAGGGAAACGAGGCTTCGATGCCCGCCGAAATGACGAACGCGACCGCAGAACTTAATTAAACTCGTAAATCCGCCGTTCCGCGACGTCCACGACGACTATCGTTTCGCGCACCGTTTCGTATACGCACTTATTTCCCTCCGATCCGTTCCGACCAATCGCGCCCCTCCCCCTTCCTTCTCGCGGTAAACTTATCTCTGGACGCGAGTATTTTCGAAGTGTTTTTCAAAAAAGAAAAGAAAAGAGAAAAGAGGCGCTTATCGGGGCGAGGGATCGTCGGCTTCCCTCGAAGGCGAAGAATTTTGTGAGATCCGTCCGGGTGCGGTGCTCGCAGCGAAGTTTATCGGTCGGGTGTCGGTTTATCGCGTATCCTGGTGGCACGACATCCTTCGTGTCCGTCCAATCAGGCGCGCACTTGGCGGACGACTCAAGGAAACCCGTGCGGTGGCCAAGACCGCGATAATAACCGAGGCGAATCGAGCTCGTTTCCACGTATTTCCACGAATCTGGCCGAGGATCTAGACGATGCTTTCCGGAGATAGCGCGGGAATCGGTTCGCTTTCGTCTCCTCGGTCTCATCGAGCGAACGATTTATAACGTTTTCGAAGATGGACAAGTTCGATATTTCCTTGTCTCGATGTTTCGAGATTCGTGGGAAGAGAGAGGGAGAGGAAGAGTATCTAGGATGAGATGGACGAGTTTTGGCACGACTACTCTTGGGAGGAGGGTGGATTGAATTCGAGCACCCTTCGTTCGAACGCATCCACGCTTTTCCCACGACGATCCCGCTGCTGATGGTGCACCCTCCCCCGAAACGGAAAAAAATATCGGTTGGTGGCAATTTCAAGTTGGAAACGTTTGGGGAAAGATGCGCGCGAAAGGATAAATTTTCCATCCTCGAGAACGAAATGGACGAAGATGAAGAATTTTTTTTTCTTTCCGTTTCCTCGAGTGAACCCGTTCGACGGAACGAAAGTATATGCATCTCGAGGAATAAAATGGAATGGGTGGTCGGCCGAAAATCGAGGCGTTCGGCAATCAGGATACTCGTTCGAATCGATTTGCGAGATGATCGAGGGACAATCTCGAGAGCAAATCGATCGAGGTCGGATCCGCCGGCTCGAAACGTCGAAAGAATCGAGGCGGACGAGCGAAGCGAGAAAGCGGTTCACGATCCAGAGGATCCCGGTTCCCGAGATCGTCATCCTACCGAAACATCGGGGCAAAAACTCTCGAAAATCTCGGCGGATAAAAAGACGGCCGGTTTTTTGCGATAATAAGCGGCCACGCCGAGCCGAGCGAAGAAACGGAAAACTGCTCTCTTCTTGGCCAACTTGTCGCAGCGTTTTACCATTAACGGTCGTTTATTTGGAGCAACTTCTTTTGCTCCTTCCTAAGGTAGAGAA